ATCTATAATCCCATTAATCCTTAGGATACTCATGGTCTTTTCAATTCTTTTTAGCAGTGCTAACTGCTAACTGCACTCAGTCTTAATGTGGGCGAGTACACTTTATTTTTAAAAAATATAAAATTTTAAAAGAAAATTAACTCTCTCAGACTCAGCCCAGCCCGAGTACAGTGTGCTCTATTCATTTTCTAATGGTTATACTTGTACCTTTAATTTGGTCTTTTCAAATATTATACAAAGTTTTGAATTGATTCTTAAATTAAAAATTTTCTTAGTTTGTTCGTTAAAATTTATAAATTTAACTCTAAATTTATCTTTTTAAATAGGCCAAAGCCCCTATTTGCACACTCCATTTATTTTTTTTCGGTGGTCAACACTTTCCAGAATTTTTCCTCCCTATTCACACCCTCCACTTTTCAAAACCCGTGAAAAACCTAATATTTTAACGGGCCGTCACGGCACCGTTAATAACCGTTAAAAATTGTAATACGTGGCATCAAACAGTAAAATAATCCAATGTGGACTTTCTTTTTTGATGATATAGCATAATTAAATTATAATTAATTTTAATTTTTCATTTTCTTCTTTCCCGCATCATCTTTACCATCTCCCTCTTCATCTTCTTGGGTTCCTCATGGAACCAAGAACCAAGAACCCAGAACTTTATGTCACATTTATTAATCTAATGTTGGACTTTTTTTTATAATGTGTTATAATTAAATCGTCATTAATTTTAATTTCTTTATTTTCTTCTTTCTCGGCATCATCTTCACCATCCTCGTCCTCATCCCCCTGGATTCCTCGCAAAACCCAGGTTCTGTGTTCTTCGTGGAACTTAATTTCACAATTCGCCTACCAAGCTAAGATTTTCATCCACACAATTATAAGTAAATGAATACTGCACAAAAACATGATAAGCATCTTCTACTCTCCCACAAAAAACGAAAAAACTCAAATTGACAACCTATTCAAAAACAATCTCCAAGCAAAAAAACTCACTTTTTCAACAAAAAAAAATTATTTCAAATTGCTTTGCATAAAATAGGAAACTAAGATAAATACATTCAAAATCAAAAAATCAAAAAAAAAAAAAAAGTTGGAACTGGGTTCCCCACGAGGAACCCATTGAGAAGACGATGGTGAAGATGGAGGACGGTGAGGATGATGAGGGGGGAAAGAAAAAAAAATGCCACTTATGTAACTGTTGGATAATATTATAATTTTTTATTATTTTTACCGTATACGTGGCGTCCACACTTGTAAAAAATAAGCCACATCATAAAAAAAAATTATTCACGTTGGATTACTAACGTTATATAGTGCCACGTCAATTTTTGGGTGCAACGTAATATATTTTCTAACGGTGCCGTGACGGCCCGTTAAAATATTGGGTTTTTCACGAGTTTTGAAAAGTGGAGGGTGTGAATAGGGAAAAAAAATTCTGAAAGGTGTTGACCACGGAAAAAAAATAAATTGAGGGTGCAAATAGGGGCTTTGGCCTTTTAAATAAAAGTAAATGATGTGTCTCATTATTAATATAATATATAATTATTAAATAATGATCTTTAACCATCAAATAACAAACATATTAATTATTTTTTAATGAAATGACTAACTCAAAATTAAATTTAAAAAATTTAAAAATTAAATCAAAAATTTTTTTAATTTAGAAGCCAATTTAAGGTCTTATACTAACGAGGGACCAAATTATTATTATTATTATTTTAAAATAGGTAAAGTTTAACCTTTCTTAATTGGTTTTAGAGTCCTCATATCCAAATCATAGGCCTTTTATTTTTATTTTTTTTACAAGGACAATGATTAAAGGTTAGTAAAGTTAAAATTGTTAATAAAAAGGTATTGAATTTGAACAAGAATGTAATCTACCGGCTGTTTTTTGGATAGCAACAGTGACAACCATAATAAAAAAATAAAAAAATTAATAAAAATTAAACCCCACACCTAAAATAAATTATCTTTTAACCAATAATTAAGTAACTACTTTGGACCACACGAGCTTCTTAAATCACGGACACATTGTTCTTTCGTAATTACTAGATTTCTTTTGGAACTAATTAATTATCATGCGCCAGCTACCGACAGCCGTCGAATTTAGTTAGGTTTTAAATATCCGGAATTGGTGGGAGAGGTTTGGAAAGAAAATGAATATTTTTTTATTATATAAATTATTATTAATATCCTAAACAAACTTTAAAAGAAAAGATTAAGAACAAAAATAACTCATTGATAACAAAATATTCTTATAGTGTAACATCATGCAGTAGTTTTTATTGGCAATTTTGTTCTTTTTTTTTTTTTGAATTTACCGGCAAGATGTCTTTTAATATGCGCTTTTGAATTTAATTTATCTTTAAACAATTTTAAAAGTTCACTTTCCATTAACTATGTATATTTTAAAAAAATTAATTTATACCATCATGTATATTAGTCAATACATTTAAAAAAATTAATTTTTTAAATGCTAATCAAGACCTCTTTAAAATATTTCTCTCATTACCAAAACTAACAAATCGTATCTTGATCACTTCCTACTTAAATTAACTAGGAGCCAATATTGACACAATGATTGAAGAAAGAAGAATGAGAAGTAAGTAAAAATTAATATGGAAGCATGAGCACGTTGTGTTTATCCTAGCAGGGGGCCGACAACATTACGTACGATGGATGGCTCAACAAACAAAAACCTCGTGGAACTGTTACGCCACACACGTGAAGCCACTTTTTAGAGCAAGATATTATTTGGTGTTGATTGGATTCGGGCATTCCTACTTCCCAACACTCTTTTCTCTCCTCATCTAACTCCTCCCCACCATTTGGTGTCCCAAATTAAAGGGGGATTGTTCATTCTGTTATTAAAATTTGTTTGACCCAGCTAAACCAATGCCTGAAACGTGCTTCTTTCTAGAAACGACGTACGATACATTGGCAAAAGGGGAAAGCTAGCAATGAATTTGATAATTTTTTTTATTAGTAAAGGGAAAAAATCAATTTCTCCTCCCATTAAAGAGAACACATAAATTATTTTAATCCATTATAAGATACAAGTTAGTGAGCGTTTATTATAAAATTTAAAAAATAATTATTAATTATTAACTTTAATTAAATAAATTTTATACTTTAATTTTATAAATAATAATAATAATAATTATCTATTAACAGTATCAAAATAAATAATTGAAATATCTTTAATAAGTTCCCAATTCACGACTCTAAGCACAACCTTATATCACCTTGACTTTTTCTCTATATATCAATTTGAATCAATTCTGTCAATCTAAAATATCAGGTTTGAATCCCCTCCTTCAATATCAAAGAAAAAAATTCAAAAAAAAAGAAGATTCTTTTAATCAAAATAGGACAAGGAGAAAATTAAAATTTGATAATTCATATTCCACTCAAACATCTGAAGATACAAAAAATCCCCCAAAAAACAATAGACGTTTTGGGGTAAGAATTATCTAATTGATAAACAGCTGAAGATCAAGGATATCCATCCATCTGTTTAGGAAGGAAAAAATACAGCGTGACCCCTTCATCTATTTTTTTACATCTGGTGTCCTATCAACACAGATCAAATCAAACTTTAACCGTGGATTATTAGAGTCCACTAAACGCCACCGGCTTCCCCAGATTGAAATCATGAACCAATCAACCATGATATTAATTCATCCCCTCGCCTGCTACTTGGTGATATGCTTATAGACGATATAATGCCATTAAATAATTCCATGCACCTTACATTTTGAAATCATAGTACTTATGTTTTGTACTATATTTATGATTTAGGATTCCCTTCCCGTACCTTAACCGGGAGGCCACCACAAAAAGTGGCGGTTAGCCCCGCCGAGAACCGTGGCATGGGGTAATGTGTCGCCAATTCAATGTTGAATCTGCGGACGAGGGAAACCGCCACGCATTTGAGCTCCACTAGAGCCATTTCCTTTCCCAAACACATTCTGCTCCCAGCTTGGAAAACAGGGTACTTAAAAGGGTTCTCCGGGATGAAAACACCATCTCTCAACCACCTCTCCGGCTTAAATTCCAAACAATCTGGACCCCATATGTCCTCCATCCGACCCATGGCATAAGGATGGTAAGTAACTCTAGTTCCTTTCTTCACAACAGTCCCGTCTGGTAATGTACCGTCAGCTTGGCAGAACTTGGAATCGAATTGGATCGGAGGATATAGCCTCATGCTTTCATAGATTGTTGCTTGTAAATAATGAAGTTCATTTATCTTGTCAAAGCTTGTGATGTCCTGATTCGGTCCTAGAACTCGACCTGCCTCTTCCCGTATTGCGACCGCGACGTCCGGGTACTTCGGCAGTAGCCAAAACAAGCTTGTTAAAGCCGATGCGACAGTATCCCTATTAGGATCAATGCAGATGTAAAAGAAAAAATAATAATTCATAAGAAATTAAGTCACAGTTTGATAACAACCTGTTACAGTTATTATCTACTTTTAATAGTTGAACCAAAATACAGTAAAGAAAAATACCGTCCGGCTAAGATGAAGCTAACGACGATGTCTCTGAGGTAAGTTTCGTCGTTCAAGGAAATCATGAAACGGGAAAGCAGATCTTCATGGGATAAAAGCCCCATTTTTCGCCTTTGACTTATGACTTCTCTAGCCAAAACATTTACAACCCTGATTGATTCTCTTAGTTGCTTCTCCGATCCTATGTTGAGCCACCGTTTGATCTTCCACAGCAGCGGAGATGCAGTCATGGCTCGCTGAGCGGACAATTTCGACGCCATGTCAAAGGCGATCGCGAATTCTGATATGGGTAAAGACAGTTTCAAACACTCGGGATCAAGCCCGAATGAGAATCGGCAAATTGTATCAAAAGAAAACCTCCTAAAGATATCTTGTAAATCCAAGATTCTATCACCACCGGCAGAGGATAATAAGGGCACGAGCCTGTGGTTGATCTCATGGTTGATGATCTCGAACGCGTAAGATCTAATGGAAAACCGGTCGAGTTCCAGACTGGCCATCTTTTTCTGGAACCTCCAGAGGTCACCGTCGACGTTGAATATCCCGCGACCAAGGAAATCACCAAGGATCATGGAAAACTGCTTTCCCTTCGGGAAATTCTCGAATCTGGTTTTCAAGATGTACTCCACGTTATCCGGGTTGGCCGTGATGGTGTTGCCTAAGACGTGTATGTGGATGGTTTTCCCCGGCGAGTTTTTGAGGAGGTGAGAATACCAGTCACAGAGGTTGTGGAACTGTTTGGACCAACTCAGAGTGAGATACGCATCGCATATCTCGCAGTTGCACCACAACCCTCTCTTAAGTTTGATTGAGTAGAGCAATAACAAGGAAGAAAGGAAAAGGATTATTAAGAAAGGGAGAAATTGAAAGAAGCAAGAAGGTTCAGGTTCCATTCTTGGAAAACAAACATGGGAAAAGGGGAAAAGCTAAGGGAAAATATAGGAGAAGGTGAAGGCTTAACTTTACGTATTAGATCCAGAAGGTGAACTTCAGTATAGGTCAACCAAGTCAGAATTTGTTTTAAAATGAAATTGCAAAGCCGGTATTAGGTTGCAAAAAGTTTAAAATCTTTAGATAAGTCTTAACATGATAAATTAATTAAATTATTATAATTTAATATAATTTAAATTACACCGATAAACCTATAAGATGAAAGAGTTATTTTTTTATACATTATAATTTAGAAAAGAAAATTTTAAACTCTTATCTTAAAATTAAAAAGCATATCTTATGAAGTGATTTAATCTTATAATTAAAAAATATATCTTATTTTTTTTGGTACAGAAAAAATATATCTTATAGAGAGACATATAACCACCTATCTACTAAACCCTAAGTGCTATTTAAAATGAAAGTTTAATATAAAAAACACGAAAAAACGTGGGCTATAGAAGGAAGATATACTAGAGTCTAGAGGGATATGAAATGATCTGCTGGTGTGGTGCGTCAGCAATTGTAAGCTTGGGGAACATTGACCCACGTGGTTTTATGCTTATTCGTACTAAGTGGTTTTTAAATAATATTTTATATATTTATGTGGAGGGAAAGGAAAGAGAAAAGGTGTGATCATGTCAGCAGACTGTGGCCACTAGGTATATTACAAGGGATAGGACATTGAGTTGCCATTAATGGACATACATAGTACATTAGCCAGAGAACAAGTACTAGAGCGTTGCTGCTAAGCTAGGCACGGTTTGGTTTTGATCTGAAATGAATATTTATATTATTTATATATTTTTATTTTATAAGAATTAAAATTA